TGCATTTGTGCCTCTCTAGCAGTGTAAGTCCCCTGCATCTGATTGACTTCCAGTTGAGAGTCACTTTTAATTATAATTTGCTCTATGGAGAGTTCTCGTGCTAGTTCCAAACCTGCAATTACAGCTTCATACTCTGCTTCATTGTTAGTAATAGGGTACCATTTAATTGCTTGTCTTATACTTTCACTTGAGGGTGGGATTAAAATAATACCTAAACCGGATCCTTTGACATTTGAAGAGCCATCAATAAATAAAGTCCACGTACCTGTATTAGCTCCAGTAAAAATTTGTAATTCCTTTTCTACTTCAGGAATTATTTTTGTATTAAAATCTGCGACGAAATCTGCTAAAACTTAAGATTTTATTGCAGTTCTAGGTTGATAAATAATGCCATATTCACTTAGTTCTATTGCCCACTTGGCTAGCCTGCCTGACAATTCTTATTTATGCAAAATATTTCTTAATCGATATGCAGTTACTATGGAGATAGGATGGCATTAAAAATATGGTCTCAATTTCCTAGCTGCCATGACTAATGCTAAAGCTAGTTTCTCTAGATGAGGATATCTAGTTTCAGCATCTAATAAAGATTTACTAACATAATAAATAGGAGATTGTTTACCTTTGTCCTCCCTTACTAAAACTGCACTTACAGCTACTTCTGCAACTACAAGATGTAAAATAGTCTTTCTCCATCCATTGGTTTAGACAGTAGGGGAGGATTTGTTAAGTATGCCTTCAAATTTTTGAGGGCTTGTCGGCATTCCTCAGTCGATTCAAACTGATTTTGCTTCTTCATTACTGAAAAGAATTTAAAGCTTTTCTTTGAAGATCTTGAAATGAATCTTCCCAGAGCTGTAATCCTACATGTCAATCTTTGTACCTCTTTTTTGCTTGTGAGTATATCAGGTATTTCTTCAATAGCTTTAATCTGTGTGCAGGATTTACTTCAATTCCTCTATTAGATACGAGAAAGCCTAGAAACTTACCTGAAGCTATGCCAAAAGCGCACTTTTATGGGTTCAGTTTTATATTATATCTGCGGAGGATCTCGAAGGTAGTTGGAAGATGTTGAAAATGATCTTCCGATTGTGTAGATTTGACTAACATATCATCAATGTACACTTTCATCGTCTTCCCCAGGTGTTCTTGGAACATCTTGGTCACCAACCTCTGATACGTGGCTCCAGCCTTTTTCAAGCCAAAAGGTAGGACTTTGTAACAATAAGTCCCCTTGTTTGTAATAAATGAAGTTTTTTCTTCGTCTGAGGGGTCTATTTTTATTTGATTGTAACCAAAATACGCATCTAGAAAGCTTAATAATTTGTGGCCTGCAGTAGCATCAATCAATTGATATATATGCGGTAAAGTTAATGAATCCTTCGGGCATGCTTTATTTAAGTCAGTGTAATCCACACAAACTCTCCATTTATTGTTCTTTTTCGGAACTACCACAGTATTAGCTAACCAGTTAGGATATTTTACCTCGCGTATTGAATCGATCTTTAAGAGTTTCTGTACCTCTTCATCGATCACTTAATTTTTGAATGATCCTTATTTCCTCTTCTTTTGTTTGACATGTATGAATGATGTATCTTCATTTAATTTATGAGTCATCACCTCCGGAGGTATACCTGTCATATCTGAATGGGACCATGCGAAATAATCCGCGTTAGATTTTAAATATTCAATTAACTTACCTCTCCTATCTGGATTTATCCTTGCTCCGATATGAATTATTCGATCTGGCCATTGTTCGAATAGTGGAACAGCTTCAAGATCCTCAATCGTTGTTTTAATATTTTCGTTCTCCTCCGGCTCTTGAATTACATCTAGTCTGGAGTCCACGTCTGTTTGTTTTGATATAATTTCTGTTGAAATTTGATTTACAGCATCTTTCTCACTTGCACCCACATCTTTTTGACTTGCATTCGTATCTTTTTGACTTGCACTCGTATCTTTTTGAGTTACATTCGTATCTTGTTGACTTGGCTATATCACCGAATTGATGCTCCTTGAAGTTTGTTGATCTCCTCGAATTTGTTGAATTCCCTATTTTGAAGGGAATTTGATAACCTGATGTAATGTGGATGGCACAACATCCATATCATGAATCCACGACCTCCCAAGAATCACATTATAGGCCATATCCGTGTCTATCACTTGAAATTTTGTTTCTTTAATGACCCTTTCTACGTATATGCTTAGTTCAATCTTTCCCTTTGTAACAACGGTTGAGTTATCAAACCCAAATAAGGAACGTGCTTTTGGAACTACACGATTTCCCATCAGCATTTCGATCACCGCTCGTAATAGAATGATGTTCACGGAGCTACCTGGGTCAATCAAAACTCGTTTTACATTCGTATCATGTATAAGTAAAGATATTACCAGTGCATCGTTGTGAGGAATCATTAATCCATCGACATCTGCTTCATCAAAGGTTATGTTGTCGTCTTCCAGAGTTTGGAGAGTTCGCTTCCCATGGGTTATTGTGAACTATGTTGTTTTTCTCGTAACTGTATAGGTTACGCCGTTAACTTCTTCTCTGTCATTTATCACATTTACTGTTCTCTTTGGAGACGGGGTTTTGGGGGCTCTTGCCTATTTTTCCTGTAAGCTTGTTTGCCTTTCTCGCTGAACAATTACGTCAGATAGCCCTGCTTCAATAAATGTTCCACCTCACCATGTAATAATCTGCAGTATGATGTTATATGGTCGTGGTCATTATGGAACTCGCACCAAAAGTCTGGGTTTATTCTATTTGGATTTGATCTCATCTCTTTAGGCCATCGTACCTTATCCCTTATGCTTCTTAAAACAGTGACCAACTCGGAGGTACTCACGTTAAAATTGTAGTCCCCAATCATTGCGTTTGTATTAGCATCTCTGTTGCGTTCACCTCGATCTTTTCGAAATCTCGACGATGACAAACCTGAATCTCTATTTACGAACCTGTGATCAGCCCACACGTTTTCGAATTTGGAATGAGTTTCTCGCCCCGAAGGTCCCATATAAGGCTCGTACATATTCTTACCGGGCCTCTTCTCAGATTCTGACCGTCTCGAACCTGTTTTTTATTCAACCATTGACTGAGCTACGATATCTTCTTCGATCCGTAATTTGGTACTGTACCTATTATAGACATCATTCCATGTCGTGGCAGGGAATTCTCATAGGCTCTCTTTAAGCCTCCTCGTAGCTTCTGAACTTTTCTCGTTTAAATGACTTGCAAATGCCATGGCTTCCCAATTATCAGGTACTCTTGGTAGCAACATTCTTTCATGTTGGAATCTGTCTACGAATTCTCGAAGCAATTCTGTATCTCTTTGATTTACTTTGAATATATTCTCCATTCTCTTTTCAACGTTTTGTGCACCGAAGTGTGCTTTTATAAATAGATCTGCAAGCTCAGCAAAAGAGTCAATAGAATTTTCAGGTAAAAGAGAGTACCATGTTAACGCTCGTTTAGTAAGTGTTTCCCCAAACGTTTTGACCAACACAGATTCAATCTCCTGGTTGGTTAAATCATTGCCTTTTACTCTCGTGGTGAATGCAGTAACGTGGCTATGTGGATCGGTCATTCCATCGTATTTTGGGATGTCAGGCATTTTGAATTTTTTGAGAATTGGTAATGGAGCTGCGCTTGGTTTCCATGGTTGTTGTGAATATTTATCGAAATCAACTCCTTTGATCACAGATGGTACGTCGGGTATTTGCTCAATACGGTCGTTTTGTTCTTTCACCTGTTTCTGCAAGGTTAGTATTAAAGTTTGTAAATCAGAATTATTAGGCATACCCGGTCTCCCATCACATGACTCGTTGGGAGTTCCTCCGCTTCCAGAATTAACCAACCCTAACCGTGTAATTTCCACAATTGGCGTATTGTTTGGTGGAGGTGTGGGTGGCACAGCTGGTAGTCCCCTCACGAAAGCCTGGAGAGTATCATTCACGTACTCAGCAATTAACTGTTTCACAATATCCTGCTCGACAGTTTGTTCATTTCCATGTTGTTCATTGTTATGAGTAGTGGATCTTTCTGGTGATGCTTCTCTTGAATTGCGTGGGGTTCCTTGAAGTGACGGAACTGGAGTTTTTTCCACTTGTTGGTTGTTGTCATTGACATTCGATATGATTCAATTGAGAGAGAGTGATTTGGAAAGTAAGAGAAGATTATCAGATTCCCGGCAACGAAACCAATTTGTTTAGCCAAAGAATTGGATTCTCAGTTAAAGCTTATTTTTAGAAGTACTCGGTTTACTGATAATCAAGAAATTCAATATTCTCTCAGAAATAAGAAAGAAAATTAGAATAAGAAATGACAAAATAATCAATTGAAAGCACAAGAAAATAATTATATTCCAATAATAATCAGAACGTGTCCTTACAAGTAAAGTTCCCTTCCCTTATATAGGAATTTACAAATATAACGTTTCTTCCCTTTTATGACCGAATCATTATGAGCATTAATGACATTAATGAAACGTTATAATTGGCAAACGTAACTGTTCATGAAAATTCTGTAACGGTTGTGATTCTTCTTCCACATTAATTAGAGGTTCATGAATCTTCCCTCTTTACTGTCTTGATTCATCCTGCCTATGTCTCTTCACTGAATAATTTAGGCTCGAGCAACCGTACCCTTTCGTCTCGTTAGTGATCCACGTATCTTGCCCTGTCATCCTCATATAATTTCACGTATAATATTTATTTTTTACTAATACAATATTATGTAAAAAAAAAACTGTATAGTATAATTTAACATATTATAGACTTTTACTTGCAATTGCCTTTTCAATCTAACATGTAAATATTTCTTGCACCATACAACTCTCAAACTAATTTATACTATACCATTAATTATGTCGGAAGAACAAAAAGAGAAAAGTAACGAAAGTAATAGCCAACTTTCAAGAATAACAGCTGGATTTGTGATTGTCTTGTCAAATAAATTTACTGAGAGAAGCAGCAGCAAAAAGCAGAATCACTGTAAGTTTATTCTTTACTCTGTTTATTGTCTTCTCCTAATAAGAAAAAGTTCAAAACAAATGCATCTCTTTTCGTTGTTTGGTTGCTCTTTCCTTCACTTTTACTTGATCAAGAACTGAGATTCAATTTAGCTGCTTCTTTCCTATATCTGATCATTTTTTCGCCTTTCCCTTCACTTTGGTTGGTGTACTGTTATCCTCTTAATTAATTGCATGATATTGCTTTCTTGCATTGATTTCTCATGCCAAAGCAACTCATGAATTTTTCACTAACCCAAATGATAACAAGAATGTTGAATTCAAGATATGAATATTGAATTATGGTTCATAGGCAATCTTGGGTTGATTTTCTTTTCTTTTTATTCCTCCCTTTGTAAACTAATTCATGTTCAAGATACACATTTGGTCTCTTCATCTATACTATTCTAAATTCTTGTTTTCATATTTGTTTATACTGCAACGAAAATTGCAATGTTAACTCACCTTCTGAAAGTTAGGAGATGATTAGATGAATAGTCATTTTCCTTGGATGGATAAAATCTTGACTTGATTGGGGATTCGCTTTTTCTTTTTTGCCGAGCTGCTGGAAATGTAATTAAACCTAATTACACTCATCATTTTATATTTGAATTGTAATTTATTGATTAAAGAATTAGGAAAAGCTATTGCAGTAGCTTTATGTTGATAGTGCTTGTGCTGTAGATAAACATCATCATGTTCCCCCCCCCTGTTGATATTCTCTAGAAATATTGACCAACGTAGAAGCAACGCCAAGATGCCAAAAGGAACAAAATTCTGTGGCAAAAAGAAAAACCAAACAATAAGGAAAAATAATTCTTAGCAATCCTTTATTCCCAGCTATATCAAGAAGTCATATATAAATATTGTGTTAAAAATTGTATATTTTGCTGCAGCTAGCCCTGAAAATGATCATGGGAGCAGAGGGTTTTGGTACAAAATCTGCAATTTCTAGGACTTATGCAAATATGGGGTTGGAAGAATATGATAGAGGAGATAAAGGGCATCCCAAGATTCTATCAATTTTAGCTTCTGTTCTTGAGAAAACAGTTCAAAAGAATGAGAAGGCAATGAAGGGATCGAAAGAGAGAGGTGTTGTGACTGTCTTCCATGGCACAAGAGCTCCTGTTTTAACAGTTCAGCAGTACATTGAGCGCATTTTTAAGTATTCCAATTGCAGCCCTTCGTGTTTCGTGGTTGCATATGTATACTTGGAGAGATTTCTCAACCTGACTGATTGTTTACTGACGTCGCTTAATGTTCACCGGCTTCTGATCACTTGCATTGTCTTGGCTGTCAAGTTTGTAGATGATGAGTAAGTATTCTTGCCATTCTGCTGCAAACTGTCACAAAGTTCATTTCTATGTTTTTAAGTTTGTGTGCTTTTTCAATAGAATTTCAGATGATGAGTGTTTGATAGAACCTTTGCCAATACCTTATAGTTGAAATTGTCTAGCTAAAATTTTGTAGTTTCTTATGAGATTTTCACACTTTTTTCAGCTGCTACAACGATGCATATTATGCAAAAGTAGGAGGAATAACCACAAAAGAACTGAACAAACTGGAGATGAAATTCTTGGCAGCCCTTGATTTCCGACTGCACGTAAGTGTTGAGAGCTTTGATAAGTACTGCTTGCAGCTAGAGAAAGAAGCCAATGTGAAATTACAGATTGATCGATCTATCCGAATATTTGCATGGGGAAAAGGTTTGATAAATAAAGACATATCAAGTTGTTCACCTACTGTTGGAGGATACACTTGTAGAGCTTTCTAAGTGTAGGGATCCAATGACAAGCCTGAAGCTGCAGAGAAAAATCTTCTGACTTGTGTACCTGTCTTTGCAGAACTGTGATGGGATTCAAAATTAACTGCTGGTATATGCCTCAACTGTAACTTTTCTCTATGTTTAATGTCTATATTTAAACTAGCCAATTCAATAAAAACAAAAACTAAAGCCATGAAAAATTAATGATCATCTTCTATAAAGCATGTGCCCAAAATTGCACCACTCAAACAACATCTATTGTTTAAAACAAAGTTTCTAAGGAATTTGACATTGTACAAGCAATTTCTTGGCTGCAAACATTAAAGGGATTATTTCAGCTGCTTAGGGAGGAGTCAAATATGTTGGTCCAGCTCCCCATTTGCTGTTTAATTGTTACTAAGCTCTCCTTACAGTAATAAACTGAACATATATGCATGCCTCTGGCCCTGTGATAGAAATCCAAGATGCCTCATCTCCCGGGTCTTAACATCATAGGCAACCAGCTGAGAACTTTTAGTTAGGAAAACGAAAGTGGTAGATTCCCAGAAGCCACAATACCTGTACTTAATGTGTGTTAGGCATTAAAAGGTAAGAAGTTTGTTCCAAACACCAGGTTGGATCATAACCCATAAAGTATATAATCTGCCCTTTCACCTAGGGTCAAGAGGTTAATGGAGTCATCACGCAATATCAGTCTGCGAAAACCATTGCGGGGAACATCTTGCCCTCTGATCTCTCCAAACACCTCGCTGCCAAAGTCAAATGAATGAATACCGCAGTAACCTCCCCTCTGTAGCAGCCAGTAATAAGTCCCATTCAGGTAAGCTGCTATGGACATTCCTGTAGTATTTCTCTGTGATGATTTTGATTAAGGATTTTCCAAGAGTCAGTAGAACAGGAATAGACCGCTGCATATGCATGAGAGAAGGGATAACCTCTGTTCTCATCCCAGAAAAAGCGAAACCAAACCACCTTGTAGCCTGTAGGTACGTACTATACCCTTTCTCTTCAGGGAAAGGGTAAGCATCATCAATCATCCTTAACGCTCGTGGCCGTACTGGCACTCCTATAGATCTCATGCATAAAGATACAGAGAGCGGAGAGCAACAACTATACATTTTATTTTAGTCCTACACCCTAGCTAAAACTAACGTTATTTCCCAAAAATCTGTTAAAGTTAATTGAGATTTCCATTCTTTCTTTTTCTTTCTCTCCACCTCTCCATCCCTGCCCGAAAGAAAATAGCTTCTTCTCCTTTTAGTTCAACTGTGCCATTGCTTTTCAGTCATGCACTACAGACCAACAAAAATATATATATATCTGCACAAAAAATACCAAAAACCCAGGAAAAATTACAATTAATAACAAGAACTATCAAATTGAAAATCTAATCAAAATGATTGGTTTGGTGGGCTATGAAGCCTATAATTAATAATTTGAGGTCAGATAACATGCACATGCAGAGTAAAAATTACATCAAGATAGACTAATTTTTCCATCTTCGTGAAGTCAACTGTCTTTTGAGTTTTTGCCACTGTGGCAGTGTAGTGCATTCGCTTCAAATTGTTGATTATCTGCCTGAATTCCATGTGGGGGAGATAGGTAACCTTTATAATCTTCAAATTCATGTACCAATGTTCATCAGAACGCAAAGACGACGGTGGGCAATTCTTCGTACTCCTAGCAAACTCCACTATATATATTGGAAATTAACCTCTCCCGATGGCCGATGATTCTCCAACATGGCAGTGGTCTCAACATTTTCATAGCTTAAACTTGTCCACTATAGCTGGTAATCTAAAGAGAAAGGAATATTCACCAAAAATATTATTTTTGATATAATGTCCCCTGCAACATCGGAAAAGATATCGTCATAAGTAATCCAAAAGGTTGTCACGGTGTTGTGATCTATGATGGTGCAAGAACAAGTTAATGCAGAGACACAACGCTTTACAACAACAGCAACCCTAAGTGGAAAACCAACAGTTTCATGAAAGCTAGTTTGGTTGATATCAAACTTATGGCAATGTACTTGTACAAATAGCAAGGGATAGCCAGTTTGTAAGCGAAAAATAGTTAGCTTTTGCACAGTCATTGAAAAATAATCATTATTTAATGCGGAGGTAAAATCTGAACGAAAACACCCTAGCATAATACGGAAAGTTCCAGCATAATATGCTGGATTATAGAGCTCATGTGTGCGAGCACGTAATTTTTGCCCTACGAAAAATATTCTTACAAAATCCACAAAAATAAATTTTCTGATTGTTTTTCATTTTTATAGAATTTCTAGGAATTTATTTTTAATTGTTTCTTTGCATTTAGTTGCATTGTGCATATTTAATATCTTAAAATCATAAAAAAAACCATAAAAATTTTCAAATCTTCATTCCATATCATTATAGGTTTAATTGCATTTTTAGAAATTAATTACTTATTAATTGTAGAATTAATACATGAAAATCACAACAAAAAATACTTTAGTAACTTCACATGCATTATTAGTTAATTAAATTAATTATTTGTTAGAGAATAGGTAAGTAGGTTTAATTTTGCAAAGTAGATTTGATTTAGGATTTTAATTAATTTGGCTAGATGTTAAAATCAAAGTAAGAAAGAAGTAGGTTGTTTGGGTCTTTAAAATGCATATGTGCCAGTTCATGCTGAGGCCCAAACTCCACCAAAAATCTGCCCAGTCCACTCCCAAAATCGGTCCAAGTTCCTCTTTAGCCAAACGACGTTGCTTCTGTCACTACTAATCCTCACCCTTCATCTCCCTTGATCCGACGGTTCGGAACCCACCCACCTAATCACATATACATTTTAAAGGGACTGCACATTCCTCAGATTATTCCCTCATCATTCTCTATATAAGACCTCACATTCCCCCACGTATCCCTACATTCCTTGAGAGAACACACACTCATTTTTTTACATTTCCTAGGCATATCCCTTCATCTTTACTATTTTCTCACAGAAAAAAAAAATAAAAAAAATAAAAGATTAAAAGTTGTCTCTAATTTTGTTTAGTTGCTGAAATTTTTGAAGTTTTCTTTAAAGTTGTTCGGGTTAAGAAGTTGTTGATTCTCTGGTGATTCTGGACTGCTGGGTTTCATCCATCATTTCTTAGCCTTTATTTGCTAGTTTGTTAGATTTACGTGCAAATAGTTTGTTGTTCCTGTGTTGTTGAGCTGCGTCTTCCACTCCCATACTTTATTCAACTTTTGTTCAGTTATTTCTGCTATTAGGTATGTAGATTCACATTTGCTCTGCCTTATTTTGAGTTTAAGAATGAAATCTGAGTTTGATTCATGCTCTCTTAGCGTTTGATTTCATACATATAGTATTTTAGCTGTTAAATTAGTTTGAAATTATTTCTTCATAATAGATTGATAATGATAATATTTTCAATGTTGTTTAAGTTTGCTTATTCTGGACCATAGTTTACTTGCTTTAAGATGAAACTCATGCTTTAATGTGATGTTTAATTAATATGTTGTTGTTGTTTGTCTGTGGGTACAACCAAGTTAATTTGTAAGGATAGCCCAGTGGCTATCCCCTTGCAAATAAAACATAGGCTTTGAGAAAGAAGTATCATACCATTAGAGGTGGCTTCTGTCCTGAAGATTTGAACAAATAGGGAAAGCATAGAGTTGTATTTGTGCTAATAGAGTAGTGTAGTTTATGTTATGACTAGCCAAATGTATGATGTAATATTACTTTTGTCATTATGTCAATTTGGACTGTTAATAGATTTTTTGATCTATAATTCTTCACTAGTTAATATCGCCGGGTCCAATTCAGAGGCCCAAGTCCTCGGCCTAAAACTTTGAACTGGGATATATTTTAATCTATGATAGAACGAGTTAGTTAGGAAAAGGGTAAACATGTCCACCATGTGGTATTTTATAGCTTAGAATCACCAATATACTAGTCTGGGTTTAAAGTGATAGACTCATTGCTTAAATGTTATTGATTCATTATGTAATGTTAAATTTGAAACTCCAATCTTTAGTTGACTTAATGGTTTGGTGTTATAAGAATATAATTTTAGTAGTATGAATCAAATGTCAATTGTATTGAATCTGACTCTCATGAACCAACAAGTTTCTTTCGACAATAATCATAAGCCTGGGATTCCAAACATTGCTTTAGACATTATGCCCACATTCTTCTACAATAATTTACATAATTCATGACCTCACACGAAATCTCAAAGTAGTTTAAGAAAATAACTCATGAACACGTGCTAGTTGCTTTAGGCGTGATTAATAAATCATCATGACTATGAGTACGGTTCTCGTGGCATAGTCATCATATGTAACCCCAATTCAAGTGCACGTTTCACGCGACTTGACTCCAACTTATAATAATAATAATAATAATAATAATAATAATAATAATAATAATAATAATAATAATAATAATAATAATAATAATAATAATAATAATAATAATAAACATGTTATAAATCGCGGGTGCATTTCACATGACGCGATTCGCAATGTGTACTAAAACAATGAGTGCGCGACATCGCGACTTGTTCAAATAAATCCCATGAATAATTAAAAGCAGTATAGAAGCGACAACGCATAAAAGGTTTTTAACATGTAATAATTCAGATAAATAAGCCAATTATTAATTGTTAAGTGACCGTGCTAAAACCACGGAACTCGGGAGTACCTCACACCTTCTCCCAGGTTAATAAAATTTCTTACCCGGTCTTCTGTGTTCGCGGACCATAAATAAGTCAATTTTCTCGATTTGGAATTTTAAAATAAACTGGTGACTTGGAACACCATAATAATTATCCCAAGTGGCGACATTGAGTTAAATAAATAATCTCATTTCGAATAATGTCACATTAATTGGAAAAATCCCCTATTCTTCGGAAAAAGGAAGTGTGATAGCTTTGGCTACTCTGGTGGGGATACTAACCCAGAACTTCTGGTTCAGGGTTCAGAATTCGAGCTTAGAATAACTATTATACTTGGCTTTTGTTTATTATCTGATTTTTACTAATTTGAGCCTAATGTGCTAAATGCCACTTTTTACCGCTTTGATATTGTGTGAACTGTATATAAACTGTTACAAAACTCTTCTTCTCTAAGTCTTCTAAATCCTCTGGGAAGCGTGCGCTTCGCGTGGCTTCTTTTCTGTTAGAGTCATACCCCTAATTTTAGAATGAGGATTGGACAAGTTGCAAAGCCGGTGAAGCTTTTGTATTCCTGGTACGCTGCCCCCCTCAACTCGAGTTGTCCGCTCGGCTAATCCAGGTCTAGAACAATACACCCAGGATTTAA